TGAGGGGTTTTAAAGGACTAAGAATTTTTTTTCAATTTCCTCATTTTTTTATTGGTGCATTATAGTTGTACATATTGATGGGAAGGATGAAGAAATTTTGCTTCTGTCATACAAACAACTATCTTTATAGGTATTTGGAGGATTAAATTAGATATCAAAAGTGATGTGATGTGCCTGGCCAAGTGTGATCAATAAAAATGAGTTCTTGTGCTGAGTGTAGTGGCTGGCACACACGTGTAATCCAGAAGCTTGGGAGGCTGATGCAAGAGGATGGCATGTTCAAAGTCAGCCTCAGCAATTTAGCAACATCCTGTCTTAAAAAAGAAAAAGGGCTGGGATGTGGCTCAGTGGTTAAGTGCCCCTAGGTTCAATCCCTGATACAAAAGAAAAAAAAAATAATTATTGATCTTTCTTGCTTTCAATTTGTGACTTTTTTTGTGTGTGTGATTCATGTTTTTATCTTTCCCCCCCACCAGTACTAGGGATTGAACCCAAGGCCTCATGAATTCTAACCAAGTGCCCTACCTCTGAGTTATATTTCTAGCCCCTGATTTTATCTGTAAATATTTTAAAGGCAACTAAGGGAAGTAGTTCATCCACAGGTGGAGGCCATCCCCAAGCAAGCAGAATGTTCTCATCTTGGTGCCCCTTGCTCCCTCAGCACTCCATATTGAGACCCCATATTCTCACACTGGGGTTCAATACATATGGCTGAGAAGCACCCATAAGTGGGTTCTGATTACTTTTATTGTTGCCTTGGGAACCAAATACAAGGCAATATGCTGATAGATCAAAGCACAGCAAAGAGGTTCTTAAATGCTCTGTTGGTATATTTTAATTTCCATGTCACTGTCCTTATCAGTTTCCACCCAATAGCTAAAAGATTGAAAAGCTTAAACTTAATGTTCTAGGTTAAACTCAGTGTTCCAAGAGCCTTCCAAGCTGACAGCAGCAAAATATTTAAGTCTATTAGCCCATGGTTCCAGGAATGCTTTTGTCAAATGACTTCCAGCAAGGACATACTCAAATGCATTTATCTCATCTGTCTGAGAGGACCTTGGAATAGAAGCAGGTCATTGGAGGGATTTTGCCAGAGGACCAGATCCTTCTTTTAAATTCATCAGTCAGCTTTTAATTTATGACATTCGAAACCCTTATTTGCCAACAAAGATGAAAGTTAACTGTTGATCAAGAGACTGGCAGCTCTTGGCAGAACTTGGCACATGTAAGCCAGACACTCGAATGGGTTTTTAAAATGATGCTTGAGACCCCATATACTCTTCTGCTCCCACAGTGGGAAAGCACTCCATTAACCATCAAATGCAGAGATGATATTTAACAGCTGCTATTACCTATTATAGTTCCAATCTGGAGCTTTAGCTTGCTAAGCCACATTCAATCACCATCTTGCACACTGCTTTCCACCAACAGTTACCTTGAACATTGTTCCCTTGTGTGTACATCAGATCATCTCAACACTCCCTTAGGAGACAGGGCGTCTGCCTTACTTAATTTCCTCCCCTCCCCAATAACCCACAGAAGGAACATCTCATAAAGGATGACCTTGTGCCTTACACACGGTAGAAAGAACACAACAAATATTTAAGCACTGGGAAGAAAATAAAGACTTACAAGATCTAAAATTTGGAGTCCACTGGAGCTGTTCACAACTTTGGAATAAGATTCGTGCATTTAGTTCTCAGTGTCCAAGACAGCAAGGTGATTCACTTCATGTAGGAATACACAGTCTACTTCTCTCCCCAATTCTTCTCTGACTTCTCACAGGAAAACAAACAGTCCTCCAAGACTGTCTCACAAAACTCTGACCATGGTCCTGCCTTCAAGACTACCTACTGTACTTTCCAAACATCAACTCAGCAAATTAAAAATTGTCTCTGGGGTCCACACATTTTGGACCAAGGAACACGGTTTGACCGTGTTTTCTCAGGAAGGAAACCTCTCAGCCCAGTGAAAATGTTCCTTGGCCTGTCAAACTCCACATGTATAAACTGGGCCACCAGGATATAGACATGCAGGAATGATAGCATTAGATCAGTCCAGAAACATAAAATGCCTGGGCTATTACTTTGCAATCCACTTTTGTTAAGGAGCTGAGTTAGGCAAGGCATAATTTTAATTACGTTAATCAATAGCGAGATGCCAAGAAAACCTCTCAAAATGTTTTCCTCCCTCCCTCCCTCCCTTCCTTCCTTCCTTCCTTCTTCCCTCCCTCCCTCCCTCCCTCTTTTCCTTCCTCCCTCCCATAGAAAGGATCAAGTAAGACTATATTCAGTGCTGGGAGCCGTATACATTCATCTAGGTCATAGTCTTCTTGTTGTTTTGATGCAATTTTTTCATTAGCGAATGACATCGTATTCCTGGTTGATTCCTCTGACCAAGATTTCTATTAAGTTAATAGAAGAGATTAAATCAAGATAATTGAAAAAAATTGTAATCCCTTTAATGCAATCATTCATTGGTAAATCTAATTACAGTGTCAAGCACAGGGCCTGAGTCATCCTTCTCTGATAGGGAGGTTTTCTACTAGGCTGGACCCACCTCTGGGGAGAGAGGGAATACTGGTAGTGCTTTCAAACTTTGACTTCAGTAAAATGGACTCAGTGGAATCAGGTAAAAGCCTACAGGTATGCATTAGCAGCAACAACAAAAGCGGTAACAGAGCACTTTGGGAGAGATTCTTTCCTTCCCTTTTTCACACTCTCTATTAAGAAATAGGCTGATATACATCCTCCTCCTCTCCCTCCTCCTTCTTTTTTTTGGTACTGGAGATTTTGGTACTGGAGATTGCTCTACCACTGAGCTCTACATCCCCAGCCCTCTTTAATTTTACTTTTTATTTCGAGACAGGGTCTTGCTAAGTTTCTGAGGCTGGCATCAAACTTGTGATCCTCCTGCCTCAGCTTCCCTAGTCGCTGGGATTTCAGGCATGTGTCAATGCACCAAGCTCTGATATACATTGGAATAGAGTCCCCAGCTGATAAATGATAAAATTGTACATAAATAAGCAGCCCTTCCAGGCTAGAAGGAACATCTCATAAAGGATGACCTTGTCTTTGAGGCTGATGAGATTTGGAGGAAGTAGGGAAAGACTACCCCTTGGCAAAGGATGAAGAATGGCCCTGGCAGGATATCCTTCCCATTGGACATCCCCCTATTCAAAAATCTACTTGACTTTTTTTTTTTCATTTTACTATCTGCTAGAAATTAATTTGCATGAAAACACTTTAAATGCAGATAGCCCTGGGAGCTTGTCAGCATTCATGTATCAGAGGAACTTACTCTAATCACTCTAATTTCTCAATTTAATGAGATTTTTGGAAGCAGGGAGAGGTTGTAGAAGGTAGTCTAAATGCATTATGTTTCTCATCTTTCATGTAGATGCTTAATTTTTTCATCCAGGAAATCCATAAACGGATGTATTATTTTAAATGATGAAATTAGCTACCAGAAGCACTGTGAACTATGAGCTGCTAAAGGTGATTACTTCAAGGGAATGGAACGCCGTGAGAAGATTCTAGCTTTCCATTCTAGAAGTTTCTACATGGTTTGATTTTTTCCCCCTTTCTCTCATAGGCAGACATCACTTAAGTAAAAACAAAAGAACTAGTTTAAAATAATTTTAAAAGGTCAGTCTTGTTTAAATAAATTGCAGTATATCTACACCCTGAAGAATTATATAGCTTTTGGAACAAGCAAGGTGGGATAGATCCTACCTGTTCTAAGAGGAAAGCTGTCTGAGAGGGGAGAGTGATAAACAACAGTTCCAGCACAATATGGATAATGTCTCATTTGTGTGGGGGGAAAAGCATGTATATGCCACCACGGGGTCTTTGTTCCTACTTCTTGTCCAGTGTTGTTTTTACTAGTGTCCTCTTCCATTTTCTCAAGTTTTCCAGTTAGAATGGTCACTTCCCTAGTGCTCTGACTCTGACTCTAATGTATCCATGTGTGTAAATGTGTAGAAATTAACCTGTGAAGATCTATTCCACTTTGTGCACTGAATGAAGACAGAAGGCAAGGACTTTTCTGCTTTATTGTGTGTGTGTCTGAAGTTAATTTTACAGGGAGCACAGTATTTGTCTGCTTTAGTTTTGGAATTTTGGGGGGAAGGGATTTGCAAACAATTCAGCAATATATTCTCCTCATAAAAGTGTAAGTAATGCATATAAAACAAAGTCCCCTTGGCCATCTCTCTTATCCTGGTATATTAGTCCATTTTCTCTTGCAAATAATACTATACCACAGACTGGGTAAGTTATAAAGAACAGAGGGTTATTTTGGCTCACATTTCTCATCCATGGTTGAGGGGTCACATCTGGAGATGCCCTTCTTGCTATCAAAGTCTTGGGATGACACAGGGAAAGAGATGGGGGGTACATCTTCTAGTCTCCTTCTTCTCAAAAGGCTGCAGGAATTCAACCATGGGGATTCGACTCTGATGATCTCACCTAATCCTGATCATCTCCCAAAGCCCCCACTTTCTACACACCATAATCAGATTGAGTTTCTGCCCTCTTAATTGCTTCTAAAATCTCACAAATACTAGGTTTTTAAAAGTAAATGAGATCAATTTGCTTTATTGTGTATGTGTCTGAATTTAATTTTACAAGGAGCCTGGTATTGGTCTGTTTCCGTCTCTTTTTTTTAAGTAAATTAGATAAGTTTGCACTTTACACTTAACTTTTTATCTCATAGAACTTTCTATGTCTCTGTATGTAGTTTCTTTCTTTTTAACTGTAGCCTAATATAAGAGTGTTGTGAGCAGAATTGTATCTTCCCCAAATTTACATATTGACGTTAACCCCAGTATGTCAGAATATGATTATGTTTGGAATTAAGGCTTTTAAAGAGATAATTAAGATTAAATTAGGTCATAGTGGTGTGCCCCAAGTTGATATGACTGGAGATCATGTGTGAAGAGGAGATTAGGACATAGAGAGATGGTGGGGGGCAGAGAACAGGAACCACATGAACACACAGGAAGAAGATGGGCACTCTAACCCAAGGAGAGGAACAAGCCTCAGAAGAAATTAACCCTGCTGACACCTTCATCTCAGACTTCTGACTTCCAGATCAGTGAGAAAATGTTTCTGTTGTTTAAGCAACACAGTCTGCTGCGCTTCATTATGACACTCCTAGCTAACTAATAGGCATAATAACAATGTACCATAATTTATCTATGGCCCTGTTGATGGACATTTAGATAATTTCATTTTTTCTTTTCTTTTCACCAACGCCCTCTCCTTTTTTGGCTATTACAAATAATGCTGCAATGAGATTTCTTACTGTTTTCTGTGTAGAGATGGAAGAATTTCTCTGTGCACATGTATGAGACAGCCCTTTTTTGATATCAGGAAGTGGAATCACCAGTAAAACAAGTATGTACCTTTTAAAATTAAAAAAAACCCTGCTAAATGGTTCACAAAAATGTTTATAATAATTTTTAAAAATATTTTTTTAGTTGTTGATATACCTTTATTTTATTTATTTATATGTGGTGCTGAGAATTGAACTCAGTGCCTCACACATGCCAGGCAAGTACACTCCTGCTCAGCCCCAGCCCCAGCCCTGTTTATAATAATTTTATTCTACCAATATTATTTTTCCACATTCTCATCAATGTAAGACATTTTTAGCTTTTTTAAATGGCCAAATTTGGTGGCAAAAACAGTTTGGTATATATTTTGTTGCACAAATTTTTCCTAAATATTTGATGACTATCAATTTTTTTTTTTTGCTAGTTAGCAAGTTTAGTACATTTTCCAATTATAACCTTTATGCATAGATTGTCAGGGAAGGATGGGATTTGCTGCTAGTTCCTGAATGACAATAGTTGAACTTCTGGACAAGAAGACAGGTGATTCTGCAGGAAGTGACCAATGGCCTGGATGAGCTTTTGCTGCACCCTAACCAGACCTCAGTGTTTGCCCCAGGGCTCCTTTCAACTCCCCAACCTACCACCTCCAAGTTCAAGGCACATTTCAACACAACTTGCACTGCAGTGCTCTCTTACCTGTGTTTCAGGATGTGATCCATCAATCAAAATCCCATCTCTTGTCTTTGGGGAATTTTTCATTACTTCTCTTCAACTGAGACAATACTATCTTGTTTTCTGGATTGTTAAATATATATATATATAGTTATTTCTGGGGAATTAAAAGCTGAGAGATAAATTGCTCAATCTGCCATGTTTCTCTAAGCTGTCTGTACAGTATAATCCATTGGACATATATTTGAAATAGATGGATAGATAGATAATTGACTCCACATTACTCCAATCACCACCTATTCAGTTCAAGAATGAGGACAAGTTGAGAACTGAAAACAAATGAGCTTCTGGCTGTGCTCAGTGTGATCCTAGGGTTTTAAGATGTATAGTTTTGGATACAATATTGCCCCTGAATACAAGCCAACTACTTCATCTGGTGTTTAACTGAAGAATCTGTTCCAACAATGGAGAAGTAGCTATGCTGGAATTACAAAATTACCATAGGTTGGTCTTCATAAGTGGCATCTGCCTTTAGAATTTTCTTTTTTTTTTTTTTCTGTTGAATAATTCAGATAAATCAGGTTTATTATTATTCTTCTCCTAAGGCAGGAAGAGAATAGGACTGAAATAACACACAAGAAGTGGGCAGACAATGGCAGAAGGCCAGGGAAGAGGAAGAAGTTTATCCTAAATGGTCCGAGAAGACTCCCTATTGAGAAGGTCCCTTTGAGGCCAGGAGTCTGGCAGCTTAGTTACTTCTTCTGTGTAGACTGAGGTGGAATATGGTGTGCTTGGCATTCACTGGTCCACAGGATGCACATTAGTTACCCGTACCTCAGATTGCGTAAAGGTTTCCAGCCATGAAACCAGAGAGGCCACTGTGGGTCACCAAGGACTCCTGGTGACTGTTTCCTCCTTGGCTGACTGAGGTCTGCCTGTTAGACGGGTGCTGGGCCGTGGTTTGTCTTCCTGTTTGTTTTCTCCCTTCTGAAGAAAGACCTATTGACAGAACTATTGTTGAGACTTTCAACTCCAAGAAATATAGGCAAGGCATCGGCTTTTCCCATATGACTCTACATGTTAGAATCACAGAAATAGTTTGTGTCCAAATGACTGAGTGTGCAATGAAAAGATCTAGATTTAGATTTTACTTTTACTAGAATGATTTATAGAATTCAGTAAAATAAAATGTTCACAAGCTAATATTATAATTTATTTCACTTTATGACTGTGACAGAAAGTAATCTTGTTGTATAAAGGAGAGGGCAAATTAACGACAATCTACTCCAAATGTCACATGCGGTGGGGGTGTGTCTGACGCTACATGTATTTTCTTTCCTTGAACATTTCCTTTAGTCTCTGTTGTACTTTTGTTTGCTAACTTTGGTCATATTTGATGCTCTGATTTAAGAAAACTGTTCACCAAAACATTGCCTTCATTCTAAAGAAGTGTTCATGGCATGAAAAGCTAAATATTCTGAACTTTCCATTTTTGTATGTCCACTATAATACATAGCTCTCTTTTCAAAAGCGTAAATTAATTCGCAAAACTCCTTTGATAAAATAAACAATTTCATTTAAAGTTACTAGATTGTGGTACAATTTGCCACAAGGTCTTTCTTCAGAAGGTAGAATTTTCAATAGTAATTTTTATTATAGACTATTTTACCTTTATATGTTGATTTTAGAACCTATTCCTCACCCACAGCATGAAAGACATAACTTTTCATTTATTAACATGATAATTTAAAACGTTTTTAAAACAACAAATATTTTAGAACAGCATCTACTTGAGGTTATTGTAGAAGAACAGTTTTGTTCTGAAGAAGGAAAGTGTAAAGGATTCTAAGTTACATGAGTTTTGAACATGGAATCAGTCTGTTAGAGAGCAGTGTAAGCCAGGGCTCAGGAATTAATCAATGAGGTCCTTGGGGTTTGGTCTAGAAACCACATTACAATCTGTGATATTTATATTACTGAAAAATATATCTTAAGTTCTAAAACAATCTTTATTTAGTGAAAGAATTGGATATTTATTTGTAGGTTCATTTCCAGATTCCTGCCAGCAATTTTATGTGGATTTTTGCCATCTGCCTCTCAGAGTTCTTTCAACTAAAAAATTGTTAAAATGTGCCTATACATATCATAGAAAAAATATTGAACAGGCCAGATTATAACTATATGATGCTTTGCAAGTGGACATTTTACTCCCTTTGTAATTTTTAATTCTTAGAATTCTTGAAGAATTTTTCAGACCATCTACTGAGAAACAGAGACCTGGAAAGTGGGTTGACTGGTTCAAGATCATGCAACCAGGTATTCATTCATTCAAGTGTTTATGTGTGTGTGTGTGTGTGTGTGTGTGTGTGTGTGTGTGTGTGTTTGAGTGGAAATGGTTAGGTCTCCCTCTACCTCTAAGGTCAGGACTCTTTTCCACCAATTCCTGACAATGAATCATTAATCATCATTATTTGAATGCAGGTGTTTATGTCATTCTCAAAGCCTCTGTTAATTTCATCTATCTGTAATGATATCATGGGATACTCTATAAAATACTTTAATGCTAAGATAAATTTGACTGCAGTATTCTCTTGCCCTAATAAGTGAATGGTTTTAGGAATTTAACTTGACATTGTTGTTGATGAAATTTTTTTAATGAATTTGTTTATTCACTCCATCCCCAGATTTATTCTGTTTTCCTCCTATTTACCCACTTCAGAAAATCTTATCCATTGTGATAATTCCCAAATATATATCATCAGCTCCTTTATTTCCTCAGAGTTCCATTCTATCTCCAGATATTTTTCATAGATGCCTATTTTATCTCCTTTTAATAGCAACAGCCTCTCAACCAACTTCTATCTTCTACACCTCTGATTGCCAGTGCCCTCTTGAGTGTTCTCTGTACATCATCTGCCCAGTTTATCAAACCAGGCATTTTGCCATGTTTTAAAAGATTTCTATGGGGAAAAGAGCATAGTTCATCATGGTAGGCAAAATTTTAAGATACATTTCCAAGATTCCTGGCCCTAGATATTCAATCAAATACTAATCTACTTACTGTGGTGAAGGGATTGTGCAGATGTGATATAGTCCCGAAGCAATTGACCTTAAGATATAGAGTAACCTGGTGGGCTTGATCTAATCACAGGAGTCCTTTAAAAGTAAAGAGCTTTCCTACTGGTCAGAGAAAGAAAGACAGAGACATGCTCTGGCTGACCTGGAAGAATGCAAAGCCCCAGAATGTGGCAAAGTCTATGGATGCCACTGGAAGGAATCTGAAAGAACAACCTGAGACTATTAAGAGACATGAGCAACACCCAGCTGACAACCAGCAAGGAAATGGACATTTCAACAGGGGAACTACTAGGGAATGATATTGGCCAAATTATAGTCTAATATTATGTGCATGTATGAATATGTTACAACAAATCCCACCAGTATGTACAACTACGATGTGCCAATAAAAAATAAATGGAAAAATAATATCCTTGGGAAAAAAAAAGAAATGTGTATTTTAGTTCAATATCAACAAATAACTAAAATTCTGTCAACAAGTAGGCACTTCATAGTCGGAACTTCCCCAGACCCTCCAGACAAGAATCAAGCTTGGCTGACACCTTGACTTCAACCTTGTGATAACCTGAGCAGAGAAGCCAGTCATGCTGTGCCAGACTTCTGATTAATAGAACTCTGATCTAATAAATGGGCTTAAAGTTGCTAAACATGTGCTCATTATTACACAGCGATAGCCAATATGCTTACTTAAGCTCATTTTGGAAATACTGAATTAAGTAAACTTAACACATTTCTTTATTTCAGGAATTCTCAAGTGTTTATTGTGCTTGTTGTTACTGTGAGACTCCAAGAAGGACATACAGTATGATGTGTCTCCTAAACCATGTTGGGCACAGAAATTGGGCAGGGACACTGAGCTACAAAAACCAGTTTGCAAGGCTTCCCATAGAGTTGCAGAACAAGTTTAAAACCTGTGGTGGTTTATTGTCATTGATCCAATAATATTTGGATATCTTCATTTGTCTTTAAGGGACCTGAACACTCTTGTCCCAGTCTGTATTTCTAACATTGTCATCTCTAGACAAAGTCATGTATATTTTCCTTGGGTCTTTTCCCTCTCAGGGGCCACTCATAACTTTTACACCAACTGAAGGCATCCTTATCACCTGCTCCACATGTAGCCACTCAGTTGAGAGTGTCACATGTTCTAATAAGGTCTGTATCTAATAGGGGTCAGTATAGTTAGTAGATTCTGACATACAGCATTGAGGCCACGTCAAGCTAGCAGAAAAAGGTACACAATTAAAATAGTCCTCTTCCTTCTTTGTTTTTATATTCTGTGGATTTATTTATTTATTTTGGCAGTACTGGGATTAAACCCAGGACCTCACTCAGGCTAGGCAAGTGCTCTATCGCTGAACTACGTCCCTAGTTTATTTTAAATGCTTTTATTGTTATAGAAGCTGATGATGTCTTCCAAATATCCATCCACTCTTGTACCTGCTCAGCTTCCCTTGCAGAGATGTTGGGCTGTGGGTCTACCCATCAGTCCTTGGGGGAAGTGAAGCATGTCACTTGATGTCCTAGTTCATGTAGGATCTCTTTATGTGTGTGTATGTGTATGTGTGTGTGTTTATTAGAGTCAGAAGTCTCACTGAGTTGCTAAGTGCCTCGCTAATCTTCTGAGGCTGGCTTTGAACTCATGATCCTCCTGCCTCAGTCTCCCCAGTTGCTAGGATTCCAGGTGTGTGCCACCGCACCCAGCTTCATGTAGGATCCCATATACTCCTTCATCTTTCCCTTTCCCTGTCATGGTGACCTGGGAGGCCAAAGTTCTAGATGGTGTCACCTCAAAATGGGGGAAAGCCAACTGATGCTCCTGACTTTGTGTGAAGCTGATATTGATTTAAAACCACTGAGGATTTCGGGTTTGTCATTTATGTAGCCCAGCCAAGCTGATCTGAGCTGTCTGAGTTATACATTTAAAACTTGAAAGGAGTCCACAAGAATTCACTGGTTGCAAATATGGAAGTAAAATTGGAAGATTAATTTGAAAGGAGTCTCTCCTCAAGAATCTCTGCAGTCTTTTCCAAGTAAAGCTCTGTTGTTGAAATTTAAATGCTAAACAAATGCTATAGACGCTCAAGATGATAATTAAAGTAATCGGAAGGAAATACATTTCCCACGCACAGATATAAATTTATCCAAGAACTAGGCTGTACCCCTTCCAGTATTCTTTCAAAACTCTTAATTATAGAGATTACTAGCTCAAGGAACAGGAGGTTAAGCATCTGCTTCCTAAAATGAAGCCAAAAACTCAAAACAAATAGGCTGAATCATAGTGAAAGTAAAGAATGAGAGGCTAAAATTAAACATCTCCTCCAGCATCTCAAGCTTCTTATAATGAAAAAAATCTCATGTGTCAATGACCTAATGGGGAGGGGCAGAGATAGGCAGTGGGTACCACCAAGAGTGGTATCTATCTTTCCATGCTACTACCTATCCTTCTTCCTCTCTTCTTACATACAATCCCATTGTTTTTGCTGCTTCTCTGAATAGCTTACAGTAGTTTCAAGACTGTGTCCTTGTCTTTCTCTAGTCCTTTGAGAACTGCACCCAAAGCAGCTTTTTCTACACTCTGATGGAAAAGCTCAGGGTGCACTGTGACCCCAGGCCCTTCTCTCACTGCCTTCCTCCATCTGATGCCTGAAATATCAACTTTTATTACTTTGATATTAAAAGTAATGAAAGTTAAAGGTCTTTGATTTTTGAAGGTCATTTTTAAAATTCATGTGGCCCTGTGGATTAGTTATATGTCACAGGGGATTTCTACACATTTTGACTACTAGTCAAAATAGAAGACAAAATAGAAATGGAGAGGCTTCCCATAGAGTTTAAAACCTGTGGAGGTTTGTTATCATTGATTCAATAATATTCGGATATCTTCATTTGTCTTTAAGGGACTCGGACACTCTTGTCCCAGTCCAGTCTGTATTTGTAACATTGTCATCTCTAGACTTTTATATTTTCCTTGGATCTTTTCCCTCTCAAGAATGGAGTGGGAAGGGATGGAGGGCTAAGATAGGGAAGATGCAGGCAACAATGAAAAGTTTATACCTTTCACAGCCATGTCCTTGGATTTGGAAAGTGGTGGTGATATCCTTCCTCGTCAAAGGATCATCTGAACTATTTCCTCAATCATTGGTCACACTGTTTTTTTTTTTTTGGGGGGGGGGTGGTGGTGGTGGTACTAGGGATTGAACACAGAACCTTGAGCAGTGGAGTCAAGCACTCTATCAACTGAGCTATATCCTCAGCCCTCAGACACACTGCTTCTGGCATACTAGTGTGCTTGATTCTATTGTGGGATCTCAGAAGTACCCCAGACGTAAAAGTATTGCCGGTGGCTAGCTGGTCAAGAACATCTATAGATCTCTCTTTCTGGCCTTTCTTAATCTGTGCAGAAGAATATAAATTGACCAAATAAAATTTTAATTTCAGTTCTTGAGTTTTTCTTTTTCTTCTTCTATATTTCAGAGTACCATAAAACACAAATGTAAAACTTTTTGTCCAAAGTTATTACCAGAATTCAATTTGGCTTTTGTGGATAGATCTAGCTAAATAAATGAACATGGTTGATGAAAGATTGTTGAGCTTTTTTTTTTTTTTTTAAAAAAAGCCATATTTTCTATAATGGTACTTTGCAAGACATTTGAAATTTCTATATATTAAAATATTTTTATCACTTTTTATTATTTTAAAGAAAAGGTTAGGACATTCTTTTCTTATAATAAATCAATATTAGAAAGTTTGTGTGGGTATTGTTAGAAAAGCATACTCATTCATAACTAAGGAGAAAAAACATCAAGCACCTGTGGCTGGCCCTAAAGCAGCCTCCCTTCTCTTCTCACCAGCTTCAGGCTTCAGGAGAAGGATATGTTCATGCAAATAAGGCAAGGAAAGCAAGATTTTATTTACACCCCAAAGTAGCACTGGAGGAAAAGAATAGATCTATGAGGCTTGCTTTCTTTCCTTCCTCCCTCCCTTCCTTCCATTCTTTCTGCTTAGAACTCAAAAGGCTTCCTTTGCCTACCCCTTTTCACCAAGCCCAATCCCAAATGTCATATCTTACTGTTCCAATGAGAAGAAAGTCCACCATCAGGAAGGAACATACCATCGAAGGAGGCAGGTATGTCAATGGCCTCAAAGTTTGGGTTCTCACTCCCCAATTCATATTTGAAACATCAGTCCCCAAGGTCACAGTATTAGGTGGCTGGGGCCTTTACAGAGTTATTATGTCATGAGGCTGGAACCCTAATAATGATGTTAGTGTCCTTATAGGAAAAGCCCAGAGTTAGCTAGCTTTCTTCCTGTCATGTTGAGGAACACTGAGAAGGGGACACAGAGCCTCTCCCAGTACCTGACCATGCTGGTACCTTGATCTTGACGTTCCAGTCCCCTGAAAGAGGAGAAATTAATACTCGTTGCACAAGTCACCCAGGCTATGGGATTTTTTCTTTTTTAAAGAGAGAGAGAGAGAGAGAGAGAGAGAGAGAGAGAGGGAATTTTTTAATATTTATTTTTTAGTTTTCTGCGGACACAGAATCTTTGTTTGTATGTGGTCCTGAGGATGTAACCCGGGCCGCACGCATGCCAGGCGAGCGCGCTACCACTTGAGCTACATCCCCAGCCCCAGCCCCAGGCTATGGGATTTTTATTTGTTCTTTTCAGATACACATGATAGTCAAGTGTATTTTGACACATATACATACATGGATATAACTTCCCATTCTTTTGGTTGTACATGATGTGAAATTTCACTGGTCATATATTCATATATGAGCATAGGAAAGTATGTCCAATTCATTCTATTGTCTTTCCTATTCCCATCCCCCACCCATCCCTTCATTCCCCTTTGTGTAAGCCAATGAACTTCTTTTCTTCCCCACCATATCCTCCTTTATTGTGTGTTATCATTGTCTTATCAGAGAGAACATTCAGCCTTTGTTTTTTTGGGATTGGCTTATTTCACTTAGATAGTCTTCAGTTCCATCCATTTACCAGTAAGTGCCATAATTTCATTCTTCTTTGGGAAGGAGTAATATTCCATCGGATATATGTACCACATTTTCTTTACCCATTCATCTATTGAAGGGCAGTGTGGTTGGTTCCCAGGCTGTGGTATTTTGTTACAGCAGCCCAAGCTGACTAAGACAGGTGTTTACCTCAGGTTCTTCTCAGATGGGGCAACAGCTTTTGTGCTAGGTGCTGGGGTCAAGGTAGGTGTGAAAAGGAAGAGATCGGTGCCCACCACTATAGCTCAGCAGGAGGCAGGAGTAAGTCTGAGCTTTGCACCCACATGCAAATGGTCCATCTCTGGGTGTAGCAAATTCCTCTCCCACCAGCACA